AATGGCAGATGACTCTGCACAGAATAACACACTTAAGAAATTGCTATTGGAGAACATTCTCAGGAATTAGAAAGTAATTGTGAGGCAAACAACAATGAAAGGATCCAAGCTAAAGCAGAGCAAATCATATTCCATTTTGTTCACAAACACTAGGACAACAAAGGGAGGGAAAAATAATTTCTGGTCGTTTGTTTTATCTTTTTACACATTCCTGGGGCTTTTCTTATGGAATAAAGGAACTAATGAACTGACTTTATTGACATTAAATTGTCAGCATTAAAAGAAAACCAAGATCACCAGCCAGTATAGCCACCACAGCAGGAGGCTCAGAAGCTCCTCTGATGTCTCCTACCTGTGAAACTTTTCAATGTGTTGTCTTGAACGACTCCTCTTTGGAAAAGCATTTAAAAGTCAAGTGCAAATAAAGTCTTCAAAAAATACCCTGTAGAACAGAAGGTTGCAGAACATTAAAGAAGCCAGTAAAAAACACAAACTGCTGCTGATCTCCCTTTTTCCTCTAGGAATGATTAGTAGTCCTCCCAGCCCGTATCTTTAGCAATTATTTGCTCACAGGAGTGCAGTATTGATTTCTCTAAAGCACACAGAGGGCCAGGAGTGCTTCAGCATCGTTGGAGAGAAGCCTCAAGAAAGCAGTGGCTGCTGAACAGCAACATTTATTTCATTTGCAAAACCCCCAAACTGTCAGAGCCACAAAGTTTGCAAGTAAACCTTTCCCTGGTTTCTGTGTTTATTCTATCATATAAAATGACAGTCTTTAATAATCTGTATTTCCCTGTTGTTTCTAGTAATAAATACAGTCTGACAATCCATTAAAGCTTACAGATCTGTCTCGGGTTCTTTAAGCATGGCAGTGTTATAAATCTGGCTGTTGCACAAGGGCAGACTTTGACATTTTGATATCTGTGTATTCCAAATGATATAATGTACAAAAAAAAAAAAAAAAAAAAAAAAAAAAAAAAAAAAAAAAAAAAAAAAAAAAAAAAAAAAAAAAAAAGGCAGAAAGCATTTGTTTCTTTGTGTCTCGAGTGTCTCTTCAAGGAGCAGAACAATGATCATCAAGGTTCAGTTAGAAAGTCCATCAAGGAATGCTATCACAACATTAAACAAATGATGTTGCTCACAGGGAAAATAAGTTTATTTTTTGTGTTCAGAAAACCTGCTCAGCTATAGCCTTTTCTTCTTTTGCAGAGAGGATTCCCCTTAACAGCTGTTCTTTGAATTTGTGTCAAATCTCATTTCCAAATTACAGCTTCATTATTACTGAAAAAATTGCATGTGTTTCTGCACTGAACTGCTTACCCCATCCTGTGTCTGCAGGGTCTTTGGCTCCAGAGCTACAGATTTACATCTTCCATGTGCTTGGAATAACATTTGATGCATTCCTTTGGCATGCTGAAAATTCCTTTATGTCACTGAAAGATGACAGAAATGGGGCTTTTCTTTAGAGACAGCTCAACACACTTTTCTCTCAAATGTACTTCAAAACTAAATAGTAAGTGCTATTATACACTTTTAGCTAAATTGCAGAACAATACTAGATGCCTACACCCCCAATAAGACAGAGGGAAAAAAAAGACAGCCTAGGAAAGAAAATCTTTCATTTTACTTTCTTTATTCTTGCTTTCCTACCCATAGCAAAATGAAAATACAAACAGTGAGAGGGAGGGAGATTAATTTTGTAAATTTTCCCCATTACACCTTCCCTTTCTTCAACACAGCCAGAACAGCTGGGACTAATCAAGGGTCTGAATGAAATAAAAATGGGCATTCTACCATATAAAGATTTTAAAAGTCTATAGTAAGTTCAATGTATCTTTTTTTTAGTAGTAGATATTAAAGTTGGATGTATCTTTAAACATGGTAAAAAAGCATACCATATGTTATGATTAGCACCAAGATTCCTTCCCAGTGCTGGTGTAGAGTTAAAAAAAATAAAAAAAGGGAAAAAATTTAATTTTTCACACATGCTGAGAAAAAAAAAAAAAAGGATAGGTACTTTTTTATTCTGATGGGAATTCATAATGCACCACCACAAGCTTTCTTGAAGACACTGAAGATCCCTGTAAGTAGTCTGCTTATGCTGCTATTTCTTTTCCTCAGTTACACAATAATCTGCACAGAACTCTGGTTCTGTAGCCCTGTTCTTCCAGAAATCTCTCTGAATGTCTCCTCTGATCACAAGCAGCCCAGAACATCCCATGCTGTGATGAATAGAGAGGTGCTGCCCTGGGCCTCAGCATTCATTTTGTCCCCTTTCTCAAAAACAGACACGTGATTCCCCTTTTCGATTTCTTTCCATTATTTACAAACCACCAAACTGCCACGAATTAATTTTTAAAGCATTACCCCCTTCTGCTCTTAATAATTCAGTGGGAATGTTATCAACACCTGGTGCTTTATTGTTCCTGGGCGCTCTGGTCGCCTCTTGCTTCTCCTACAAATGGCTCAGCTTTGGAAAACCCCAGCTCACCATTAAAGAGATCACCCCCTCCATCTCTCTGTAATTGCATTTTTTGCAACCAAGTTTTCCATTTTGTCCTTTATCTGACTCATGCCCAGCTCATGTCCTTGTCTCAAAGGCTGATATCTCATTAAAACGGTCTGAAGTTATCTTATTACGCTGCCACTTCAGCTGCACAGAGCCCTTTCTGTGCCACACCATCCTTCTGCTGAATTGTTTGCATTACCAGAGGCCTTACGGAACACAAAAAATCCCCAGTACACATTGCTTTCTTATACTCCCCATCCAAAACTTCTATTTTATTTTGTTTTATTTTATTTTGAGCTCTTTCCACAGTTTTCTCCTGCTCTTTTCCTTTATTCCAAATGTTTCCCAGCTGGTATAAAATTGTTGCACAATAATCAAAGCATATTCCCACCTGTAATACTTGGTGTTCAGGTCTGTATCTGTTCCTCAAAAATCAGACTTCTGCTACACTCAGAACTTCTGTCTTCGTTAAAACAACTTAAGTCATTATTTTTATCACACACTGAGATCTCTCTGAAGCATCAACCTATGTTCACTGATAACTTTGAAGTATCAGATGATTACTGGCACCTTCCACGTACTCAGGGGTAGAGATGTTAACTTCAGTAGAATTTTAACCCTCTTTTCAAGGCTGGGGAACGGCAGGTGGAACTGCATACGAGTCACAGCTACCTAAAAGCAGCATTATAAAGCTTACTCAGATTTTTTAGCTCGCTCCAAAAGACACTGAGGAACCCCCCTCATGTTATTGTTTCAGATTTCATTACTCCAGATGAATAAAACGTCCAAGGACGCTTCTGGAATCCTCCTTTGGCAGGTTCACACGCTAGGAGGTGTTTCTAGATGCTGATACAAACTATCCCTGTCTCTTCCACTGCTCCTGCCTTGTTTTCCCCACACTATCTCACATGTTTCGCTCCTTTGTGTACAATGAAGCCAGGAAATTTTTCCCACAGGAAAACCCCAGCAGCTCTGCCTGCCTTTGGGAGCACCCCCAGCCCTCGGTTACAAAGGACGTGGAATAACCCCCTCTGTGAATCACCAAAACTTGCCTGTGCTTCCTGACAGAATTTTATGTAAAATATGCAAAACAACGTGTTTCTCAGTACTTCTTGGAAGAGTGATGAAAGTAACAACACTGAGATAAACAATATTGAAAATGTCAAGCCAGGTCACACCATTTTAGCTGAAATAGTCCTTTATGTACATATATACATCTGTGTGTATATATATATATATATATATATAAACATACACACATGTGTGTATATATATATAAATATCCCTCAGCGCTCCAGGCCATCCCCTCTTCTTTTTAAGGGAAGACTGGATGTGGGACTCAGATTGGACTCAGCGTCAGAAGACTTTTCCAACATCATTAATGCTGCGATTCCCTCCTTGGCTCCCAGGCTTTCCTTTCCCCTTGAGCTCCCTGGGCGCTGCCTGAGGGGAATCCCCGCTTCCTGCTGCACCTCCGCGCGCAGGCCCCAACACGGGGCCAAGCCCCCTCAGCCTCCCTCTCCCTCTGGAAATTTTTATTTATCAAAAATTTACTGTGGGTTGTTGTTTTTCCCCCGCTGGGGCCCCTTTCGCCCCAGACGAACCGAGCGCACACCCCACCCCCCAGAGCCGCCTCAGGCGGCCCCTCAGAACCCCCGCGCGCCGGGGGCGGGGCCTCCGCGCCGCTCCACCCCCCCTGCGCTCCGCACTTTCGCCAAGCCTGCTCCCCCGCCCGCGCCGTCCCCGTCGAGCCCTGTGGCCGTTGTCGCCGAACCCGCCGCTCCTCGCCGGTACCGTGGAGCCTCTCTAGGCTGAGTTTTTCCCCCGGGTTTCACGCTCTGCCTGCCGGAGCCTGCGGCGAATCTGCTGATCCCAAGAGCCAGCTCGGCCCTGCCCTTGCACCGGAAGCGGAAGTGCCGCCATTTTGTCTCGGGTTGATGGCGGCCGTGGCGCTGCGGGGCCGGCGGGTTTAGCGCGGGCCCGGCCCTGGCGGGACTCGCTGCTCGGACAGTCGCTGTGCCTGCGAGCCGCCGCCGCCTCGCTGCGGCCCCCGGCGATGTACGGAGGGGCCGGAGGGTCTCGACGGACTCCAGAAGAAGCAGGCCCGCCGCCCCTGATGTTGTTGTCAGGCGGGGCAGCGGTGCCCGGGCCCCCCGGAGCAGGCGGAGGTGGAGGCGGGAATAGCCGTGTGGAGCTGCTGGTGTTCGGCTATGCCTGCAAGCTGTTCCGGGATGATGAGAAGGCCCAGTACCAGGAACAGGGGCGGCACCTTATTCCTTGGATGGGAGACCCCAAGATCATGATCGATAGGTCGGTGTAACACAACCCCCCAGACCGTGCTGCGAGCCCTCCTCCTGTGATAGCCTCTTTCTTTTCCCCCCCTTGTGCTGTGGGCAGGTGAGGGCGGGGGATGATGTTCGAGGGCGGCTCCCCCTGGAGAAGCGCTCCGGGGGCTGCTTTGGGAGCTCGGCGTTCCCCGCTGGAGGTTCCCGGCAGGGCGCGGCGGAGAGCGGGGAATGGGCTGTTCCTTTTCAGTGCGGACCTCGAACATCCTCTGCTTCTCACTCGGAGTCCCGGGGAGCTCGGCTGTGTTGGGAATACCTTGTTAGGTGCGCTGCGTGTTCTCTGGGTGAGAACGGTGCAGTGTGGGCATCGCAGGGTTGTTTTTACCCACCTCGGAGCACGTGGGGATTTCTTATCTCTCCTACATAGTCTGGCTGCAGGCTCTTGGTGGGACACCCCAAAAGCAGTTCTTGGCCTAATTACTTTTTCCCTCTGCCACGATTCACTGTATTAGTCAGAGTGGAGTTGATTTTGGGTGCTTGCTGCTCAAGTTTTGTATGAGAGGCGGCTTTTTTTGGGTTGTTGTTCATGCAGTAGGTCCACGTTGGTGGCCAGAGAGAGGAGTAGAATCTGCTTTGGTGTTCCCTCTGGTCTCTGAGTTGTTGTTTCAGCAGTGCAGAGTGGGATTTAGAAATTAATTCATTCAGAAAGAGTTTTCTGGATGTTTTGCTGGAGAGAGGGAAGATGGGAGGTCAGGTTGGTTGTATTTCAGTGGAGCACTGAAAGAATAATTCAAGAGTTGTGGCTGACCTCGAAAACCTCAGTGGGAAGGATTTTGGTTTGAAAAGGATCACATGACATACTGTAGATATTTGTTCCCTCAATTTCATCATTCCTTTGGTGCTGGACTTGATTTTCTTGTTGTGACTTAAGAGCTGCATTTGGCTTGGAAAAATGTCAGTAAGGGAAGGTCTTTCCACTCCCTTCCATAAGACTGGAGAAAAAAGAAATGGCCCTTGCACTGTTTTGGTGTCTGTACTGTCAATGACTTCTCTGTCATTGAAATCAGTTTGATAAATTGAAATAAGCACAAACACAGGGAAAAACAGCCCTCGGTGTTCGTGGTTGTGCTCCGCTCTCAGTGACACGAGGATGGAGGTGTCACGCTGCACCCCTGTGATCCAGGTCACATCTGTGACAGATCTCATGGGCAGGTAGAGGCTGTTTTGGGGGTCCTGTGGAGCAGCAGCCCCGTTCCCAGATGGTGCAGAAATTGTAGGGAGCAAACACTTGAGTATGTGTATGTCAGCACCGAAACACCCGAACAACGTACTTTTGTGAGTCGAGGCAGCTTGCAATTGCTAATCCTATAAACTCCTTTGGAAGCTTAGGTTCCTTTTATCTCCAGCAGCAGGAAGTCTCCATTATCACCATTCTGAGAAAAGCACATTGCCATGAGAAGACTTGGGTTGAAGTTTGCCTGTGGACAGAGCTTGATTAACCAGACCCGTGTGTTCCGCTCGCTTTTTTGCCACGAGAATATTTCACTTTCTTTGTTTTTGGTCTAGCGAGTTGGCACAAGCCAAGAGTTGTGTGTGTGTGGGAAGACACCTCAGCGGAGTCGAGTTTACTGTCACTTTACTTTTCCAATCAGTTTCTCTTGCTGGTGCACAAACATTATCCCAGGGCAGTGCTTTTTCCTGCAAACCAAACCAAACCGTCTCCTGGGAGACGGGCGCTGTCCGTCGCCGATCTCTGCCGGTTTTGCGGTGAACCTCCGTAAATTGCATGTTTATGTTACTGTTCCTATGTATGTGTGTCTCTCTATCACATAACCCAGAACTTATTTCCTCAGCCAAATGGCTAGGGGCCGAGCCTAGCCATGATTTTACCTCCAATGGACGCAAGTTTCTATGGTGAAGATTTCTCCTGAGAGTTCGGGACTAGCAGGAAAGAAGCGAGGAAATTTCGACCGTTTGGTTCTTACGGATAGGTATTTATGTACTCGGGTTTGTGTGAATGTAAGCTATTTGAACTTTCCAGAAAAAAAAAACGTATTTTGCAAGTGGCATTGATTGGTTGGTTGAAGCACGTACGGTAAGAGCTGTTAAGGAAATGGATCCCACTTTAAAAAAAAAAAAAATATTAAAGGATACCTTTTTTTTTGCCTTTAATTGTTAATAATTTAGTAGTTTCTTTGAGAGGAATTTAGACTATTAAATTTTCGATAGTTGGTGACAAATGATTAGCAAAATTAATCGTAACTTCTAAAAAGGGAGAGTTCGCGTTAACGTATAAGTACTTTATTTTTTTTTTCTTTTTTCATTATTAATGGGTAAGTATTTTAAGTAGTCACATAAACCCAAGCCCTAAGTTCTTTGCATTGACCAGCTGTTTCATCCTGCAGGTATGATGGGCGTGGTCACCTGCATGACCTCTCTGAGTACGATGCTGAGTATTCCACGTGGAACAGAGATTATCAGCTGTCGGAAGAGGAGGCTAGAATAGAAGCCCTCTGTGATGAAGAGAGGTATTTAGCCTTGCATACGGACTTGCTTGAGGAGGAGGCAAGGCAAGGTATTTGCTCCAGGAAACTTCCTGAGTTTAGCACACTGTTGAAAGAAATTATTGTGCAATTAAATTTACTCCTAATTTTATACTCTCTTTTTCTGATGTTATCTTGACAGTACCCAGTGGAATCGAAAAGCGGGAGGCTTTGCGTGTGGGAGAGGACCTCAGGATAGTTTAACTGTAGAGCCACACAGAAACTGCCCAGATCCTGAGGGCAGGCTGGGATTTCAGACCCCCCCCCCACCTCCCCCAAAACGCCCCCAAATAAACACACTGTGCTTCTTTTTTAGTGTTGTATAAGTGAAATTCCGTGCTTTATGTGCATAATTGCATTAGAGTGTCTTAATCCACAGCCTGTGTCTCTTCAAGAAGAATTAAGTGGTCAGCACGTGTTACGTGCTGTGTTTTTCTGTTCAGGTTTTAATGAAAGCTAAAAAATGATCAGGTGACAACTTCTAATTTTAAAACTGAAGTAAGAATTATTACTTTTTTTTTTTTTTTTTTTTTTTTAATCAATTAGCTTCCAAATGTGTTCTAATGTTGGCAATTGCATTTTTGTTCAAGAGGAGGAATATAAAAGACTGAGTGAAGCTTTGGCAGAGGATGGTACCTATAATGCAGTGGGATTCCGTTATGGCAGTGATTATTATGACCCTTCAGAACCCACTGAGGAAGAGGAGCACCAACCTGCAAAACAAAGAGGTAAGGGGAAAAAATAGCCAGGGTGAATTGAGAGGGAGGACTCTACACCTCTATGTCTTGCAGTTGCAGGCTGAAAATATCTGTGTCATTCAAGTGCAATTAAAAATTCTCCAAGCACTTCATCAAAGTCTTTATGGGACTCTGTTACTGAGTTTTTGCAGACTTTGTTCTTGAGGAGCTTAAATGTTTTCTGTTACAGCACAGTCAATACTGCAGCAGTCAGGAATTTAATTTTGCTGTCTTGCAGGTCCTTATGCAGAAATAGCTAATAATTCCTCACTTGGCTGTCTGTTGACACTGTTTCTTAGTCAAGAAGGAAAATAAAATTGTCAACATAGAATAGTAATTAATAAGAATATATATTTTTTAAGTTTAGATTTTGTCATCTTAATTATCAGAAATGAGTCTGTCTTCAACATAGTGGGCCTGTTCCATGACCTTAAAAGTACAGAATTAAGTTCTCATGTTCCCATCTCTAATTACAATAACTTTGTATTTTTAGCATGAAGCCTTAAAGAAGCTTTCACTGGTTTTTGAACCATGTCTTAGTTGAGTGAGGATTGTTTAATTAACAGTTGGGTTGCCTAAGTACTGTGGTATGAAATGTGCTTTTCTTACCAAGGTGTGTGTGCTGCAGTGCAGGATCATTTTAGGTGCTAAAGCTTATTCGGTGTTTTTTGCTGCTGTGTGGGAGAGGTTGTGTCAGGGCAGTGTCTGTGTTGCTTGCATTCCACAGAGGGTTTTTTCTGTGCTCTGTCTGATGCTGAATTGCGTTTTCTCTTCTGGGGTTTAATTCATTTGTTTTAGACTCCGTCCCCAGATAGTGTTAGCGGGAGCTGCTGCCAAAAGAAACCCTCCCATTCTGATTTGTCTGCTTCTTCCTTCTTTCCTTGATGCTAAAATTTCTCTGTGTCTTTGGAGAGTTAAACCCTTCGAGTTCATTAAAAAAAAAAAAAAAAAAAAAACAAAAACCCAACCCACCAGAAAACAACCAAAAAGCCCTTTTGTTTCCTGGTTTGTGTGCAGTGATCACTGTGCCATCTCATGCGTGGTGAGGCTGCTCTGCTGTGCCCAGAATTCCCATGGTCAGGTGTCCTGTCTAGTTTGTGAGGGGAAAACTGGACTACAGTTTCTCTCAAAGCCAGTAGAATAGATATTACAACAAGTTACTTTCTAAAGTAAACTTTTCACTTGAATTATTATAAAATTTTGTAGAGCAAAATATTTTCAGAGGGACATTTTTGCTGTAGCAAGTAACAGAACGTTAAACAAATTGTCCTTTATGACCATATTTGAATGTCTTCAGTGCAAATTTACAGTTACACTTGATAAATTCCTTTATCGCACATCCTTTTGGATATACTTTATTTTAATAATTGTTCTTGAACATTTGGGTCCTTTGACATGTTTTGTCCTATAGTATTTTCTTGTGTCATTTCTTGTAGAAGCAGCTCAGACAGAAAATATAGAAGAAAACGAAGAACCTTTCGTTGCCCCTCCAGGACTGAATGTACCCTCTGATGTGGAATTGGTGAGTGTGTAAATTTAATTCAGCTGCACTTCTGCCAACTTTTGAGGAATTGATGGTTTGGTGACTGGGTTGGGTTTTTTTTCTGTTAACTTTACTGTGGTATGTTTTAAATTATTCTGAAAGAGTGGCTTAATTTCAAATGTTCTTTCTTGAATTCTTGAGTTCTGTGAACGCTCTTGAATCTTCTTTTTTTTCTCACTGAAATAATTGCAGGGCTTATTCCGAGTGCATTTAGTATCACTTGTGATATTCTTTTAGTTAATGCAGAGAAAGGGGCAGTTGCTCTTGGAATGGATTCTTGCTGAGATGTCAGGGTTGACATTCTGGGTCCATTAAACCAAAAGATTGCTTCTGTTTAAGAGGTTTTCTCTGGATTCTTTTTAATTGAGTCCCAATCTGAAGGGGATAGGACTTGGCCAAGTGTAAAGGCTGGGTTTGAAACTAGCCTAAGTGTGAAATAACTTGAAAGAATGAGCTTGTAGAAGTCTAGAGAAGCTCTTTCCTTCGTGTGATGTCACCAGAATTTGCTACATAATTTAAACTTAATTGCAACTTGTGTATTTTTCCTGCTGCCTGAGGGGAGTTGAACAGACACCTGAGTACAGTTCTAACCATGAGGGTTTTCAATTCGTATCAATTTTTGTAAAAGATACTGGGAAGTCAAATAATATTCATTCTTCTATACCCATGGTCATGAAAGTGTTAATTTATGTGTGGGCTCAACTTGATATTCTCATCTTGATAAGCTTGGCCAGCAAAGATTCAAAACACTGCTGGAATAACTAATAGTGAGCACAGGATATTTGTGTGAGAGTGTTTTTCTACTTCATTAGCTTTTAATTAAAAATATTTATCCTGTTGTGGGGTTTTTTTTACATGAAATAAGAGCTATTTAACCAAACTAATGTGCAACTTACTCTAATTTTACTTCCTCTTCTTTACAATTTGTAATGCATTTCATTAGTGAGGTGCTCACCAACCTAGTTCTAAATTCAGGGAAGATTTTTATATGCTGCCTTTAAATAATGAAGTAATTTCCCAGTCAGTTATTGAATTCCAGTATATTCACATAAACAGAAAGCAAAATGTAGATGTATTTGGTATTGAGTGAAAAAAAACCAAACTAGCAAACATCCAAATGTCCAGACAGCAGCTCTGAAAACAATGTATACTTGACCTTGGATTGGGAATTGTGAGGATTTGGGTTTTTTGCAAGCCTTGATTTGTTGTTGGTGTTGTTCTAGTCATTCAGCTTCACCAGGGAACATATTTATTCTGTGTTTTTTATTTCAACTGCTGGGAGGAATAGAAGCCTGGAAAAGGTCACTTGTAAACTTTGAATCGTTCTGGGGAGGAAGCTGCTTGGAAATAAGTTAGAATTTGAGAGCCAGATTGCTAATGTGGAGGTTTTGCTCACAGCCTGCAAGGTGCAGTTCAGTAAAGACAGATATGAAATATCTTCTGTAATACAAAACAATACAAAATGCAAATATTTGATATTGAAGATGACTCAGGCAGCACAACTGCAAAAAAAGGTCCAGAGGCTGTAGTGAGCTGGGAAATTTTGAGTGTGTGGCAACTCCAACTGCAGGAGTTGGAGTTCTTCCACTGCTTCAAACTGTGATTATGGGCAGAGATGACTTTTTCACCAGTGCATTTTAAGTAATCTGTGGATGCTATGAAAGTGGGCTGCGAGAGGAAATTATCAGTTAATAACTTCTGAGGAGAGATAGAATCACAAAAACTTCGTATGTCTTGTGAAAACGATAATGCACAATTTGTTATCAGTTTATTAAGAACTTCATTGCCTCTAATGAAAATAATCTTTGCTAGGATTTATAAGGGACAAGTAAAACTTCCAAAAAAAGCATTTTCTGGGGTTTGCAGCATAGTTCTATATTTAAACCAATAAAAATGCAAAGCTAAACCGAATCATTAGTGTGACACTTCAGTCTCTGTGGGCACACATAGTGTGTGTTTCTGCAGTTTAGTAAGCACATGACAAACGGCTGAGTCTGAAATTAAAGACAGTGAATGATGTTCATTCATTCTTTAACTGTTCTCCTCTTCTCTTCTTGGGTTTGATATGGCAGTGCTCTCTAGATGGGATTTCAGGAGTGGAATGCGTGGATGCTGCATAACTTTATTAATTTTATTTTTTCTTTAATTGTTAAGGTGTTCGATGACTCTTTAGGGGAATGTGACAGCACATAGGAATTACAGTTCTTGTGTTGGTCTTGAGAGGCAACGTGTTCCTCCCAAGCAAATGCAAAGTAACAAACTTTTCTGGTTAGGGAACAATATTTGCATATTTAGAGATAACAGAATTCAGGGGAGCTCTGGGGGTGAAGACCGTACATTGTGAGTCTTCAGATAACCTTGAGGTGTTGTAACACCAAAAGTCACCCAGGATTTGTTCCCCTTCAGTTTGGTGTGCAATGGCAGAAACAGTTGTGCTGATCTTACAAAGGGAACTGAACGAGCAGCTGGGGAGGGTTGGGACTGTGTTGGTGATTTTGTAGTGCTGAAAGAAAGCTGAGAAGGGCAGGGAGCTCCTGCTCTTTCTAATTCCCTCTGGAGCTGTAACACACCCTACAAGCTGCCTGTGGAAACACAAATATGTGATATCTCCCTCCCCCAGCCCCCAACAGCGAAGATGCACGCCATCATCGAGCGGACGGCCAACTTCGTGTGCAAGCAGGGAGCGCAGTTCGAGATCATGCTGAAGGCCAAGCAGGCCCGCAACTCCCAGTTCGACTTCCTGCGCTTCGACCACTACCTCAACCCCTACTACAAGTTCATCCAGAAGGCCATGAAGGAGGGACGATACGCGGCCCCTTCCGAGAGCAAAGCGGACGACAAGAAACGTGAGTCGTTGCTTGGCCCGGCCTGGCCTGGGGTCACGTCCCTTTGGTGTTATCCCCCAGCTGAGGTTGAAGGGATGATTCAAAACCTTGCTTAAATTAAATACTGTTTTGGAAAGCTTTCAGCTGCTGGAGCTGTTGTGATTTTGGAGGTTTTAGAAGCTCTCATGTAGCTCAAGCCCAACAGAAGGACTCAACACTTCAGTATTAGTCTTGTTGATGTCTTGCTGATGCTTGGCAGTATCTTCTTGTCATTGTGGATAAGCCAATTTATATAATTGAGTCTTGCTTAAGAATTCATGCTTTTGGTGTGTCATCTTTCTCTCCCAATGCCAACTCAGAGCAAACCCAAATACAATTCAGGTATTGCTTTTATTTAGACTCGAGAGTCAAATCTGAGGAAGATGATGATGATGATGACGACGATGATGGAAATTACCTGCATCCGAGTCTCTTTGCATCAAAAAAGTGCAGTAGGCTTGAAGAGCTCATGAAGGTACTTGACCATAATAAAATCACTTTCTATTTTGTAAAACACCTGATTCATGGACACAAAAATTACAATACGCAGATGTTCAGGTCTTTTATTGACAAAGGCTTGGAGTTTTTCTCAGGCTGTAATTGAAGTCTGTTTTGATAGGCTTTTGAGTTATCTTTTCTCTAGTACATAAATTGTTATTTTTCCATTTGTAAGGAATTATATTTCTATTTTTGATGCCCTCTGATATTGAGGGCATCACTCAAGGATTTATCCCACAGAACCTGTGTTGAAGCAGGAGAGATTAAGGTATTTAATGCCTTCTGTATATAAACTGAGAATGTTTTCTTTTTAGATTTTAGTGAATAAAATATTGACATGAATTAGCACTCTCAGCAAATAATATTTCACTAGAATTTACTACTCTTTACATGTAAATTTTGCAGGATGTGTTAGTTATTTTTATTTTCTGAGTCTGGGCAGTGATAAAATAATGGGACTGACAGATGGTTGGATGTATTTGAGGCTTTCAGAGGAATGGCTTTGGTGCTGCCTCAGACAAGGCAGTTCTGTGGCTTATCCCAGCCATGGCAGTAAATGGCTAACAGTAATAACCACTTTTTTTAATGTCATGCATTTCTGTTCACATGGAATTATTTTTGTTTCGTTTTCCATGAATTTTCAGAGATGTTAATTATGATATGAGAGCTACAAAAAGAGTAACTTCTATTAAGAAATTTGCACAGAATTTTCAGTGTCTATTAACTTAGACAGATATGCTTTCCCAAATATGTTGATGCTCTTGGGCCTTAAATATGTACTTCCAAATTTAATCTGTTTTTCTCCTCTGACAATCTTTCCAGCCTTTGAAGGTGGTGGACCCTGATCACCCCCTTGCAGCGCTGGTGCGCAAAGCGCAGTCAGACAACAACTCCTCCACGGCACAGTCAGCAGACGGGGCAGCTGTGCCAACGTCACAGGCAGAATACTCCTCTGATTGTAAGTGCTTTGTGATTAGGCAGCTGCTGGAGTGTCTTGATGACTTGTGTGGGGATGCTGGTGGGAAGAGAATGTTTGCTTCATGCTTCATCCTGTGTGTTTATTCTTTTTCAGTCCCCTGAGTCCTTGAAGGTGCATTCTTTATTACCTGTAACCTTCAGTACTTGTGCATTCTGTCCCTTACGCCACCTATTTCTCAGTCAGCCTGAGTGCATTAGTATGAGCTGCCTTCTTTTTCTCAGTTGTTTTTTTTTACGCAAGAAATCAGTACCATTTCTTAGTGTGTGGTGTGAATCAGGATTCTCTGTGCGTTTGCACTGTTGCAATAACTGTTCTTCTAATTGGGTGTTTTTCTTCTAATTAGAACATTGTTCTTAAATGTGTCTCCTTCTAGCAACGGTGGCAGCCATGTATTACAGCTACTACATGCTCCCTGATGGCACCTACTGCCTGGCACCTCCACCTCCAGGAATAGATGTTGCCACCTACTACAACGCCCTGCCCGCAGGGGTGACTGTGTCCAGCACTACAGGGGTGGCAGCAGTGCCTCCCCCCCCTGGCACCACACCCCCACCTCCCCCAGACACGAGTGACAGCAGCAGTGGGCTGACCTCCACCACAACATCTACAAGGTACCTTGTGCAGATTTACTCATCCATATCAGGGGTCTTCCTGCCCTTCAATATGGAATATTTAGTGTATGGAGTGTTCTTTTACTGAATGGAATGCACACAGAGAACAAACCTCTGTGTACCTTTTTGTTAAAGCAAGAGTCTGAAAGGTATTTATGTTCTATTTATAAGAACCATTTACTCTTGGTGTTTTCAGCACAATTGCTCCTGTGGTTGCCATTATACCTCCACCTCCAGATATCCAACCCGTCATTGATAAGCTGGCTGAGTATGTTGCTAGGAATGGGGTGAAATTTGAAACCAGTGTTCGTGCCAAGAATGATCTCAGGTAAGAGAAAATCTTATTTAAACTTGCATTTGAAAAGTTGAGGATTTCGTTTTTAAATATATTACCAGGGTTTCAAGTAGAAAAGTACTGTCTTTTTTTTTTTTTTTTTTTTTTTAAATTGAAATTCAGGGACCTACTTAAAAGTAATGCCAAAACATTATTACCCAAATTCTCAAAAAAAACCCAGCCTATCAAAAATGTCTCTAGTAAGCATGCTCTGAATTTGTATCCTCTGAAGTTCAGACATAAGTAAACAGCAAATAATATTCCTTTTGCTAGAGAAAAGTAGATGGCAAAGGGATTGTTGGTATTCACTATGTTCCTGTGCATTTTCACATACTCGGTTTTCTTTTCACAGGTTTGAGTTCCTGCAACCATGGCACCAGTATAATGCATATTATGAATTTAAAAAACAGTTCTTCCTTCAGAAAGAGAGCAGTGACAACTGCCAGGTACATGTGTGTTTGTATATACTCCTACTAAAAATGCAGTGAAAGTGGGAAAAGGACTGGTTTATCTGTTGTGTTACCGTGAGACATTTTAAAAAAATGGAACACTGAATTATGGAGAGATTGTGCAGCAAAGGATGTGATGCTTTTTTTCGTTGTTTTTCAGTTTTGTACGTCATTTAAGTAAGGATATGTGAGGTGGAGTGGTATTTAATTCTTTTTCAGTATAAGCCACTTCACTGTGGTTGCAATATAAAATGACAACCTTAAAATCCTCGGGCTTTCTCTAGGAGGGGATGTGTGTTTGTGGAGTTTAGAGCTGTGCAGGATTGTGATCAGTGTTGTGCTGTCAGAAAGGGGAGGTACGAATTTTAACGCCTGTACCTTCTCATGTGCCTCATGGTTCTCTGTACAACAGCAGCACAGAGGCTGGACTAGTTTTCTGACATGCTTTTTTCTAAGAAAGGTTTTGTTAAAGAGTCCTGTCATGACTGCAAACAATTCTGGAGCTTCAGAATCTCACAGCAGTTTCCTACTTGCTTTGCCTCTCCTAGTCTGTGTTATTAGAAGGATGATAGCCAGACTTGGCATCCGTGTCTGTAACTATTCTCGTGCTAGCTCATTAGATTGTTCTCTTACTGAAAAGAAAATTGCAAATAGTATCTATCAGAACTACATTATCTGATGTTAACTTTTCATGGGAAAGAGCTATTTTTTTTTTAGGCCCTATGTCATTTGTCATCTCAAGGCTTAGATTGGGGAGCCTTAAACTGAAGAAGGTAGGCCTGTGGGTAAACTCCTCGGAATTGCTTTGTGGAAAATGAAGAAATTCAATACTCATTGCTGTTTGAAACACTTGTGTCTGATGTTTTGTTTTGATAGTGAACAATGTTGTGAAAATACTGTTTTTAAAGATAAGCTGTGGTAAATACTATCTTACTCAGCTGATAAAATTGCAAGCAAAATTGTCCTGTGCCACAATGTCAGTTGTTATTCTAGAATGTCTTATTTGCAAACCAGTGGGTTGAATTCTTAATATTTGTATAATTAATAGGGACTAATTAACACTTACTTGGGGGGAAATTGTACACTAACCAAAGCATAATAATAAAGGATTCATTTTAAATGTTCAAAGTACATGAGTACAGCTAAGAAGCAACAGAAGCTGGCTTAAGTCCCTCGAGGTCAAGTGTAGCAATGCACATTTTTGTACTGCATGGCTTTGTAGATAATGCCATTCTCTTCATTTTTTAAAAGTAATGATTTCAATGTTATCTTTATGCTTTAGTAATACATGTATAGGCAACTAATGCAATTGATGCTTCTCCTTCTGGCCATTAAAGTTAATAAGAAATTGTACTGCTGGCCTCAGTAAATACAGGACGAAGTCTTTGATTTCATTGTGTTTTACCCCTTCGAGGATTTCCAGAAATTAGTTCTGTTGGTCAAGGGAATGGCTGCAGGGAAGATCTGCTCAATGCCTCAATTTCAACATCAAATACACTTAACAACAGTGGAATGCAACCAGCCTGTTTATTGAGAGACACATTTCAATGTTAAATTATTTAATGTCATCACCTGACTCACCATGCAAATATTTTGAATGTTCTGTAATATCCATCTTGAAATTTTTCTACTGTGAGTTCAGAGATCATCCTGAATGATTCAGTCATGTAATAGCACAACCAGGAATTCTTCACTCCCCTTGAGAGATCTCAGCACATCTGTACTGTATCAAAAAACCATTGCTAGGCCCAATGTTCTTCAGCAAGATGTTGGAACAAATCGACCTGTGTTGACCCCTGTAAAACTTAATTCTTTTGAAGAAGTTATCTTGCATTTTTACATTAGGAAAAACATTTTGTAAGCTTGTGTTTTGTCCCTGGGAATCAACGTTAATGGGTTTGGTCTCTGACCCTGAAGGTCAAGACATTAAGAATATGCTTTGGGAAAAAAAAAGTATATGCTTTTAGGGTCTAATTTTAAAAATGTAATTTTGAAAGCAGTTTTTGGCAAAAGTGTATCAGCTGAAGAACATTTTCTTTGCTGTAAAATCCCGTGTTCTTACAGTAGGTCTGTAGGTTTTACAGCCTGTGGGTTTACGTGAGGCAGACTTACGGTCATGAGTGCTCAGTGATATAAAAATAGCTGTTATGTGATTAGCTGATAATGTGATTTTTGAAATGGCTGGCAAAACTGCAGCTCCACAGACACTGCATTAATTGTTTCATAACCACCCAGTTAGTAATTCTGCACATTTCTTTTGAAAAGGGAGTGTCTTCCTCTGAAGATGTTCCAGCAGAGACTGCCAGTGATACCCCAAGTGAGGCTCAGTTTGCAGATGAACATGCACCTGAGGATGCATCTGAGCCAAGCTCTAAAGGAGTTCCAGGAACTAAAAAAGATGTTCCTCCTCCTAAAGCTGTCAGTGATGGCAAACTGGTGAAAGGTACATTAACATGATTTATTGGGTGTGAAAGGATTTGTTAACATATATATAAGGGAAAAAAGGAAGGTGGGGGGAAGTAGGGAAAAGAATTCCGTCATGCAAAAAAATAACATTTGCACTGAAGGCATCAAAAAGGGACTGAAATAAGTAATTTGATTGCTTTCATATTTCTTTCTTATCAGACTCGCAGGTATTTATGGTGTGACAGAATAAATTGTTTTACTTCAGTTTTGGGCTGAGTTGAAGGCTTTCATCACTGACCCCAGCAGAATCTTATTTTTGTCATTTTGAACTTGACAGTTACAGGCTCTGTGCAAGAAAGAAGTCATTTGTTGGGAATAAAAGCAGTGGTCTGATTTGAAATCATACATATGGAGGAAGTACTTTAGGCCTGTTGCTCAGTCTTCCTGCTGGAAAAATAGACCCCTTTTCATGTCTAAATGGAATGTTTTTCCTTTTCCAGTTGTAGCAGCAGGGGGACAGAATGGGAAGATCTCTCTGGAAGAGAGAACTGATATCTGGGAACTGATTTCCTGACCTATAAGGAAAAGATACCTTAAAAATTTCCCTTTTTTGCAGTTAAAACTAGAAATTTAAATCTTTTAACTAGAACTGAAAGCTATTTAAAAAAAAAAAGAAGAAACAGAAAATCCACTCTTGACCTGTCTTTCCATGGATGGAAGCTGCTTTCCTACCATCTCACTTAGTTGTTTTGTTTCTTGTGTTATTAAAAAAAGGCAAACTGGAGCCCGTGCTTTAATAACAGTAATCTGCTCAAATTCTGAGGATGGAATATAAGCAGTGAGTCATTTCATGACAGTCGCCTTCCTATAAATATTTATTTTCATTTCCTTTAATATGGTACAAATACCACTTTATTGTAACCTAAATACAGGACTTGGCTGGGAGACAGACATAACATTGGCACTAGATTTTTCTCCTGCCTCTGAGGAAGTAAAATCCTTTTTTGGATTTGTTTTGCCACATGACAAAGTTGGAAAATCGCTGTTATCTCTTCTCTTGGAATGCTCGAATTCTCTGTTTCTGAGCATGTTTCCTGGATGCAGAATAACCAAAGTCAAAGCATATATTATATAAACCTTGGTATGTAATTTAATGACTGTATTTAAATCTTATAGGATAGATATATGCAAAAGGCATCCTGAGGAACACACACATTGCAGCAGACCATATGGCAGTGGGTTGTTTTGCTTGAAATGTGTGAGAAATTCCATTCTTTATTCATAGAAGTTTCATTTTGCATAAACGGGTTAGAAATTAAGGTTTGTTGGTTTTTTTTCAGGTCTTTACACAACAATCGAAGTTTCCAACGTTTATTTAAAAGCAAATTTGTTTAAAAAAAAAAAAAAAAAAAGCAGCTTGTGTGTTGTCTAATGATGTGTGAAATCTCCCCCATTCATTCACAGCATCGTTTGCTCCAATAAGCTTTGCAATCAAGGCCAAAGAAAACGACCTCCTTCCTTTGGAGAAAAACCGGGTTAAATTAGATGATGACAGCGATGAGGAGGAAGAGGAGGGAAAGGAAGGCCAAGAGAATGCAAACAGTGCTTCAAACCACACCCCAGCGGTTACCACCCCTTGTGCTGCTCCAGAAGAGAAGAAACCTCAACTTACCCAGGAGGAGTTGGAAGCTAAACAAGGTATTCCATGTGGCACTGGAAACTCAATGAAGCATCGAGTCCTTCAGGAACTGTCATGGAATGTGGGACATTTTAGTGTGTTGAATCTTTTCTGTCTCGTGTCAACAGCAATCAGAGTTCTTTTACCACAGTCTCCTCCTTATTGTTAAGGATTGAATCTTCATCTAAAAATCAAGCTTTTAATGGACTGGTGCCGAGTGCTTTGCCCTAATGCCTGATCTTTCTGAATTTTGTTTTAGTTTTCCATTACAACCTTCAGTAAAACACTAACCTTTTGGTTTCCAGATTGCATTAACAGAGCCAAGCAAAGGCATATCTTGTTTCTAATTTTCTTCAGAGAACAATGGATTGCTTCAAGCTATTTTACAGTTATATAGCACTCTCATATAGACTAATATCACCTGGTTGATGTTTTGCTACTCTGATAATGCAATGCCATTAAGTCTTTGTGTGGGTTTTTCTTGTTGCTGTTTAAGGGCAGAAGGGCATGCTGTGTGAATTTGAATGAAAAGATGTTTTAAAGGAATCAAATGTCCCCCATTCTTCCCCATTTGGGTTTTTTTTTTAAGTTTAAAAGTTTTTGCTTCCCCTGTACTGCTCTTCATCAAGCAAATGACATATCTATGAATCAAGGTGCTTGGAATTTCCTAATTTCAATCTGATAATTCCTTTTCATGTCGCTGAATGGATGTATTAGAAAGGGCTGAGAAAGGCTGGAGAGGCTGTTTGCTGGGTTGGGATCTTTGTGTGTGGTTTTTTTTCAAGGAAAGCCAAGCTCCCCAGGAGTTACTCTGTGCTTAATTGTCTTTCCTAGCAAAGCAGAAACTAGAGGACAGATTAGCAGCTGCTGCAAGGGAGAAGCTTGCCCAGGCTTCCAAAGAATCCAAGGAGAAGCAGCTGCAAGCGGAGCGCAAAAGGAAAGCTGCACTGTTCTTGCAGACCCTGAAAAACCCTCTGGCAGAGGCAGAGACTGAGAAAATGGAGGAGAATTCCTTCAGTAATGAGGTAAGCAGGAAATAAGTTTCTTTTTTTCCATAAAACTGGCAGAAAACTGACAGTGTGTTATGGATGTGACTGAAGAGATGGAAGGGGTTCTAAATGGGGAGAAATTTGAATTTTAAACGCTGTTAATCTTTTTCCAGTTATCTTACCTATGTCTCTCATCTGTCATTAAGGAACTGGTAGAGGAATGTGCTGCACAAATTCTGAGGTCAGTTAGGCAGGTACACAAAGGAAAAGGACCTTCCACATTTTAACTCTGTGGTCTGTGTATTAGAGTGCTCACCTTTCAGGAGTGTTGGGTATCAGTTGTGATACCTCTTTCGTGTGTATATTGATGATTTTGATGCATGTTGCAAATACAAACATTGTTGGGAAGTAGAACCTGAGTTTCCTGGGTTTGGAATTGCACTGCTTCCAGGAAAGCCAGTAAAACAAAAGAGTCCAGTTGCACTAATCAGGCCAAGTGTCATCTCTGGATACTGATAGAAAATGTTAGATATTGATTGTGACAGACTGGTTACAAGGATGATGACATGGCTTTCCAGCATTTTCTTTCCCACAGCAAGAATTCCAGTACCTAACAAATAATAATTTCCCAGTTCTTGATTTCTTTTCCAAATAAATCATGGATTACCCCTGAAAACACTCTCAAGAGAACAACTGAAAGGGACATACCTGCAGTTTAGATGATCCAGATCAGCACAGAGTAGCAGATGTAAGAATCATGTGTGTTCACATCCCATAAGAGATCCTGTTTGGGTCTCTCATTGCTTCTGCTGACCAATTTTCCCTGACACAAGTGTTCAGTACTTCTTCTCAGTTATAGACTGAAGAGTGAATGCAAAGAGACAATGACAATGCAAAACTCCCCAGACTTGCAGTTCTGCTCCCCTTCTCAAGGGAGTTTGCCAAGGACAGATATTTCTAAGCTAAGGTTCTTTTGATGTTTTTCTTTAAGAGAATGCCTGAAATAACCAGTGACAGCTGACTCTTTTTCGGAAGAGCAGGTGAATGTTCTTGCTCACATCTGAACTTAACTGAAGTTCTAAGCTGAACTTACTAAAAAGCAAGTGAACTTCTCAACAAAAAAACACACCCTTTCCCACTTGTCAGAAAGCTGATTTTCTAGAAACTTCTTTTTCCTTCTCCCTCATATGTACAGTTTCAGAGAAGGCATCTATTTTTTCCCTACACAAAAAAATTCCAGTGTATTTGAGAATTTTAAAATAACCTGTTTCATTGCTACTTACCAATAGAAATGGTGCTTTCGTTATTAAATGGTATTTAGAATTTCAGTTCTGCGTTTAAATGTTTCTGTTGTGATGTGACCCTCTCTTTTTAAAATAAAATTGGCTGTTGCATTGGGAGTGCCAGTCCTGTTTTAATGAGCAGTCTAAAATGCCATCATGTCTTGGGAAGTAATATTCCAAAGTGTGGTTTGCTTAGTGCCATGCTTATGTAGATATATGCATATAGATTTTTGCATATAAAAGCTTATTTTGGAACGTGAATGTTTTCCAAGGTGTTGTTCCATTTGCCATATTTGAAAAAGCTTCCATCTCCATTCATTCCAAACAATCTGCCTTTTGCCCTCCTTGCCTGCTTTTGCCTATTTGTAACAGCCCATTTGAGTTAAGGAATTGTGCTGGGGAAGGATGAGTGAAGTCATATTGCAGAATTGTTAACCTCTGTTTTATATACCCTGAGAGTCCAGAAAGCAGCTTCGTGATGTCTGAATCAGCTTGTAAATAAACATGTACCACTGGTTTGGGTTTTTTGGAACCTTCTTCAGTTGTGTTTCAGAAACAAGATGCATTCGAAAACACTCATTGCAAAAGTAACAAGAGGGTGACTACAGTGGCTGTAAGAAAAAGGAAATTGGGTAAAAAGGCGAGAGAGAAAGAAGTGTAAAATCAGTTTTGTAGTTTGGCCAGTGGAACTAGTTGGGGAAATTAAATCAGAAAATTAATTAGCCTGAACAGAAAGGAACAAATTAAATATTTGCATCCACCAAAGATGGCACTATTGTATTTCATCTCCTGTTTTGGGGGCAGGAGCATCCAATGAGGAGTCCAGGAAACAAAAGATTGGTATGCACTGGTCCTACAGTTAATGGAGTGGTGTGATTTTTGTAGCTTAAAATGTGTCTCAGAAACTGAGTAAGGACTGAGATGTACAATAAAGAGTGAAGAGAAGGTGAAAATGTCCATGGGAGGAGCATTTTTTCCATGACATTGCCCCAGCCTAATAGCTGTATAAAAACCAGTAATGCTCTTTATGTTTACACACAGTGAACATTGGTGCTGAGAATCTGCTTATCACACTGTGCAGAAATGCATTAAATGTGCAAAGCTTTTGTGACCTCCCTCACATTTTCCTGATACCTTGTATCTCCTGAAAGGAAGGCTGGAACTGAGTATACATTCTATCTTTGAAAGAAATCAATTCTTCTAACTGCAGGTAAAGGACAGTCAATACCACAGAACAGAGCACTTTTAAGCTGGTTTGGCTTCAGCTGAATCTTAAAAATAGTCAGTTCTACACTGAATTATTTCTTTTATATGGCTTCCTGTTTTTCTAGAAGTGAAATGAAGCAAGAGGAACAAAAAGGCTGAAAAATGAGCTGGAGCAGTGAAGCAGCACAGCTTTTCACGAATGGCTCCTCTCTGTTCTTGCATGCATTATTACAGCAGTACAGTGGTGCAGAATATTTCCTCAAACCTGTACTTGGAAAAACGTGGAGCTTTAGCTCAGTTTGCCCAGCTGATCAACTCCCATGACCTTGTGGCTGGTGAAGTCTGGGCCCTTTTTTGAGGACATGGGTGGGTGACACTTCCTGGCTTGTGTTTACGTGGATAATTCACGGACACTCTTCTGTGACAGGAAAATCACACCAAGGGGCACATCTGCTGGTGTCACTGAAGAGGAGCTGCTGTCACTCTGCAGTGAGAGCAGCTTCCTTGTCCTCCAACAGAAGCAGATTGTAGTTCCAACCACTGCAGTTCTAGACATGCCAAGCTGGAGTACTCCAGGTTAGCTGGAGTGCTGCATTGAACTGCTTTTTCATTTTAAAACAAATAAGGCAAGGTGTTTCAGAATCTGAAATGCAAATATCATCCAAAATTATTAAAATTATCTACAGTTTTAAAACTAAGATTATATTTGTCTATCCTTGGTAGTAGGCCTTAGTATGGATTATCCTGCTAATCTCTCATATTTTATGCTGTGTCAGGGCTGATAGTGCTTTGATAGGCATGTGAGACAGTTGGTTATACCCAAACTGTTACCTGTATAAACCTTAGAGTCCAATTTAAACAAGAAGAGAAATCCACAGTCACAACACTGCAAAGTCAGACAAGCACATGATTTGAAAGGGACGGTATTTTAATGGCTTGTCCCAAATGTCATCTGTTTGTTGTGCCTCTGAATATAAAGATTCTGTGGCACAAAGCAAAACTTTCCTTCTTTTGGCTCTTTCATCTTCTCTGTTTTGAAGCCCTGTTTTATCATTTGTTTCTTTAGATGGCTTGTCCTTACTTTTGTCCTGTATGTAACAATTATTTTTTTTATCCTGTGGAAAGTAGTCTGTTTACGAGTGAAATACAAGTGTGCCACATTTAAAAATGAGATGCTCTTCTAGTTCTGTCAAGCAGAAACAGGGTAATCAACAACTGCAGACAGTGCATGTCTCTCACACTGATTGCTGTAGTTGATCCTGCTTTTTTAGCAGTGGACTGCAGATACTGCTGCATTCCTCTCTTTGGAAAAATAATGTGAACACCGTTCTCTGTTTGCCTGTTCTCTTTATGTTCATTTTGGAGCAAAATGAAATTGTCTAATGAAAACCATCCAGTAAGTACTAACAGAAAAAATGCTTTAGAATATTTCAGAGCCTTTACTTTCCTTTTTTCAGAATCTGTGTCTATAGGTATCTATATCTTCTGTTTAGCATGAGAAGGGAGGATGGGTTTACTTGCTTGTAAATCTATCTGTCCTTTTGAAAAAATGAGATAAAGGAAAAACATAAAATGTCACATAGTAATGTGGCATTTGGGGGGTGGATAACTTGATGGCATTTGGAAATTCTCATTTATTGCAATAACCCTACCACCAAAAACTACCTGAGAGTTGTAATTCCTCGTAGTATAAATTCTTTAACAGGGAGAAAAAAGGTAAATATCAGGATCTGCCGTTTTAATTAAGATAGGTGATGAGTTAAGAATGTTTATGTGTTGATTTTTAGTCTTCATAGCACTCGAGATACAAAAGCATATTGGTCCATACAGCAAACTGATTCACAGCCACCAATTTCTTCACAGGTGGCCCTTCAAAACTGAGGGTGCCAAGTTTTGTCTGCTTTTGAAGTCCTTATCATGGTCAGTGTACTGTCAATAGCTGGGTTTCAGTGCAGCACCTTAACCCTGATGGAACTGTTGAGTCTTTGAGGATTGAATTTGTTCTACAGGAAACATTTTTATCTCTTCTGTTTAATAATTTTGGGCCAGTTTATTGAGACTAGACTTCTAAAACGATGTAATTGCTTTCTTTATTGCGCAGAGCAATAAATACAAAACATAATACACTCCCGTTTCTGGTGGACAGTTGCTTATTAATTCTCAGTCAGAGAATACTTCACTGTAAGCTCTGGGGAACCTGCAGTAAAAAAAGATACAGTGGTAGAAAAGAATCTGGAGTATTTTCAGATTTGACTGAAGTAAAAGAATTGTTGATTAACTCTTTCAGTTCTGATGTAATATAGGATTCAAATTACTGAAGAAGTATTAGCTAATTACAGCAGTGTTAGTAATGTTATCAACAATGCTCTTTGCCAGTTGGTTTTGTTTGAACAAACCAGTGTTTTGTTCTGTTGCAGTGAGCACATTTTGGTTCACTTCTAATTTTGGCTTTGTGTATTGATTAAGTACTGTAACCCCAGAATAACTAATGTGTGTTCTGGGCTTATGAATACTGCAAATATGCAGATGACTTGTAATGAACTGAAGTGCTCGTTTCTGTTCTCATATAGCTATAAATTCTCCTTATTACAGAGCTCTTTCCTAACCCATTCCTGCTAAACAAGAGTTGTTGAATCATCTTTTAGCATTATTTTAGTCAGCCTTCTTCAGTCATGCAAATAAAATGCTGAAGAACAACTCTGCCAGTGAATTTGTCTGTCACTGTAGCATTTAGTAATGGCCCAGAAAAATGTGCTGTTACCCAAAATGGACAGACAAGTGAGATTCAGTGAATGCTAGCTGAACATTTGCAGTTTAACTTCTTAGAAGAGCTCTCAAAAAATGTCAATCTCTTATCCCTTGAGATGCATAATAAAATTCATCAGGTAACCAGTTTGTTTCCATGCTTTCCAAAACTCTTCTTCTGAGCTGCGAAGTGGCAGAGCCTGCTCAGTAAAGCAGAGTGTTCCTGCCTTTTGGAAATGCTTCTGTGCTTCGTGTGATTTTTTTAATTCCTTTTTTTCTTTTTTTCAAAATTATCTTTTGCTGCATTCGTGCCTCCAATTTTAGTTCCCATTACCTTATTTTGCCTGGATCAGGTTCCACGAGTAAAAATACAAACCACTGTCAACGCTGTCTCTTTGCCAGACGCTCCAGACAAGTCTGTTTTCTTTCCAAATATTTTTACTCACCGGCATTATTTATACACCTAGAAACTTGCTTTGTGGCCTAGCAACTTGCTGACGTGCTTTCACTGCCTTTCTCTCCTGCTCCGGTGGTGAATCAGATCCTTTTGCTGGTGGCTTTTTGGTTTGAAGGCAACCAGAGTTGTCCCCGAGGGAAACAGCACTTTTGTTCTGGTGATCCTGTTGTTGTGACTGACAATTGTCACCACAGCTCCTGGACACAGTGATGAAGGAGGGGGACTTCTCCCTGTGTGTCACCTGTTGTATTTCACTGCAGGACCAGAAGTAAATGTGTCACTCGTTTATGCCTCTGCCAAAAAGGGAGTTAATGAGATCTTGTGTTTTATGCGGCCAAATGAACTTGGGCACCGAAAACCTTTGGGGTTTCCTTCCCTCTCTTGTTTTCCTCTTAACTCTACTTTGCCTACAGCTATTTTGTTTCAAGCTATTAGAGGTGTCTACTTCAAGGCAAACTGGGCTATTACATATTCAGGAGTGTTCAAAGCGAAGGATCAGGTGCTGTATAAAGAGCTGAATAACATTGTCAGGGAACAAAAGTCAGCAGCGCTGGCCTCTTAGGAAACTCTGAAGTTTTGGAGAGGAGGTGTCTGCAGTTACATGTGGAATATGTGAAACTGGAAATGGGCCTCTGGTAAACCAGTCACTCAAATGATCATGCTGTAAAATTTTTGTAAGCTTTGAAGCAAACCTTAGTACTGCTTTACTGCTGGTTTTGTGAGTATTGTGACAGCAGTTATTACAGCACAGAAAAGTGTCCTGGCTCTCCAAGGTGAAGCAGAGGTGGCTTCTTGATTATTCAAATGTGGCCAGTTATTGCCATGATGTATTCATGGCAGGAGAAGGGCAAAAAGAAAGGAAAAGATCACCTGTTTCTAATTTGCTTATTTCAGGTTTTAATGTGTTATTTTTTATTCCAGTCATGGTAAGTATCCTTGTATCAAACGGTGAAAGTGTCAGAGCAGGTGGAGCAGAAATTATGACAGAGGGAAACTGATTTCTCCAGTTGCCTTGAAATGGCAGCTGGGGGAATGACAGGCTTTGAAATGAGGAGCGTACCTGGAGTGCCTGACTTGAATTGTTCTAAACAAGGTATTGAGCAGAACTCTCCAGGGTACCAGCTGATAATTTGAAAATGTCTCAGGGTGGTTTTGCTTAATCTCTTGCAGTTGGAATTACTCACTTGATCATTAACTGTGCATGGAACTGGTTTGTCTTTGATATTTAATAATTTTTGTGATTTTCCCCAACTCTTTGCATTCAAAACATTTGTTTTGCAGAGTTCAGAAAGAAAACTTAACTTCAAATGTCAGTAGTTCCTGATTGCATTTCCAGGTTCATCCTTTTAAATAAAAGATATCTGATAGCACCCACTTTTTAGAACACATTTCTTCTGAAAACTAAAGATGCAAACTTCAGAACTATGTCCTAGTTAAGCTGACAGTCTTAGCATGCATACACCAACTTGCATATGTATCTTTGGGGAACTGTACAGGCCTCTGGTACATTCTGCTAGATGGATGTTTTTGAAGATGTCAGCCTTATTTATGCACCCTTTACATAATCCCCATGAAGCACCACTGACTTGCAAAGTGAACACTGTTCTTTGTTTACCTTTGATTCCAGACTGTCAATAGTATACCATGTCCTGTGACTGCAGTCAGAACTTTACCCACCTTGGAAGTCAGACAGGCAGAAAGGCCTTCAAGCAGAAGCAGAGATCCTCCCAGGGATGAAGAAAAGGAGAAGAAAAGGAAAAAGCACAAGAAAAGATCTCGGTCGAGGTCTCGATCACCATTCAAGTATCATTCATCATCCAAGTCCAGATCCAGGTCACACTCAAAAGCAAAGCACTCACTTCCCACTGCCTATAGAACTGTCAGGCATTCAAGGTGGGTTTGGAGGCCAAACATATCCTTTGTGTTCAAAAATACTGTTTATGTTCTTTATGTTTGGCTATACATCTCTTTAAAACTTTTGGCTATCGATTGGCTAACAATCTTTTTTGCTGTATATCTCTTTAAAATATCTTTGCACTTCTTTATTACATAGGCATTGGTACAATCACCCTGAAGACAATAAATAAATATCATCAACTGTGGCAGGTCTTGGAAAACGTTTTCAATGAAATAATGAATCGTTAATTTCTAATTACAGAGTGCAGACTTGTTCAATAAATGCTTCTTCACTCTAGTCTGTAAAATACCTGGTGATAATATATAAGGATGAGATGACAGCAAGGAGAGAACTTGGATAATAAATTTGTGGATGTTGCTGTAGCAAAATAACTAGACAATATTAAGATGGGGAATAGAGGACTGAGTGGTTGAACATCAAAGCTCAGAAGGAAACAAAGCAGTTGGGTGGCATGTGAAAAAATATGATGGATGAATTGCAGGAGAGGTATGACAGGAGTTGAAAAAGGGTGAAAGCAGAGTTGATGAGGGGGAGACCACAGGAATGTAACCCAGTTAACTCTGTATTTAATCATTAATGAGATTAAATGCACTGTATTGATTATCCAGCTATAAGATGATATGCACTGTGTTACACTGATACTCTTAATTGCATCTCAGCTGTTTGGGTTTAGGCACCTCTAAAGTTTGTTGTCTGTAAAATTCGTCACATCTGAATCCCCTGCCACAGAGCAGTCACTGGGGTCAGTAGGATGTGGAATCATACACTGCCTTTCCTTTTTGGCCGTGGCACAGGCTCCTTCCTGAAAAACAGCTGCCAGCCCTCCAGCAGTGTGCCAGAATTTCTCATGTTGTGTTTTCCTTGTGCTTTCCTTGTTTGTTTAACTGCACTAACAGGAAAAAGTGTTGACACGTTACAACCTTTTGGATCATGCTAGATCTCTGTTGCCACAAAAGATGGCTGGACTAAAGGAAAACTTTTCCGTTAACTAATACAGAAGTTGTCATTACAGACAATACCAAAAAAATAATTCCTTTTTTTTAACCTCCCTGTTGGGAGTGAAAAGCAGTGGGTAACTTCATCTTAAAATGTCTTGGATGGACAAGAAATTTTTGTGCAGCTGACAAGTCTTGGAGACTTAATACCCTGCATTGGTATAAAATAGGCATTTGGAAGGTGTTACACTTGCATTGGGTGACAGCACAATCCCACTGAGGTAGAAGGAATGAAATAAGTACCAAAATCAAACCTTTGAGTGTCTCTTCTGTGCTCAGGTCGCGATCCAGGTCTCCCAGGAGAAGGGCTCACAGCCCCGAGAGGCGGCGGGAGGAGCGGAGCGTCCCCACGGCCTATCGGATCAGCAACAGCCCCGGCAACAGCAGGAAACGGCCCCGCTCCAAGTGAGTGTGCCCAGGCCTGGAGAGGGCTGGCACCTGGCACACTCAAACACTGCCTGGTGTGCTCTCCACTCCCCAGCTAGAACTTACCTTTCTATCTCCTGGGCCTTCAGTTTGATGGAAAAAAAACTTCTGTGCAGAAAATGTAGTAATAGAAGCTCTTGTTCTTCTTCCCTGTTCTTGCATGTGATTGAACACCAGATGTACAACCACGCTGGTGAATGTTGATACACTGCTGCCTCCTGGCCAGGGGAGTTCAGGTTCTGCTTGGAATGTCCTATTTCCCTCCTGTTGGGTCGTTTTCTCATGCTGTGCTCGTGCAAGCCCTGTGACCTGCACTGGCCGTAGTGCAAGTGTGATGTCAGCTTTCTTGACATCACGTCACATCTACACAATTTAGGGCAACTGCGGTTTAGCAAACAGTTTGATTTACTCTTTTCAGTTATTTTACTGACAGAGTGGAATGTGAGGTATGAATCGAGGTACCTTTTTCAAGAGCACATTGCATGTAGTCTGTTTTTAACCTGTTATTACCAAAAAGCCACTTTGTCTTTAAATCCTTTCTGCATATCTCTTGTGGAACAAGAAGCAAAGAGATCCCTTTCAGCTTTATTAAAAAATTCCCATTGTTTCTTAAGATAACTTTCCATCTCTTGACAGCCTCTAATTAATTGATGTGTGGTAGGTATAATTGAAAACTTCATGAGTATACTTCAGTGATTCAGTTTTTAACATTCATCAGTTGAAGATAATAGAGGCTTCTGTTGGAATTCGGTATGCAAATTTGGTTAAGCAGAAAAGATAGGGAAGCTTAAAAATGCTTCTCTTCCTATAAACACACACAGGAATTATTTTCACAGCCCTGTGCTATTTTTAATGCAGTGTTGGTGTGTCTCCTGCTTGACCATTCAGCATTTTAAATCATAAATTATTTTTAGAATTATTTCACTCCGAGTTGTACAAGAAAGGAATAAATAATGTGATACTTGGAAGATGGCCTGAAGTTTTACAGTGTTTTTAAGATGTTCTAGAAGCTTCAACACCCTTCTTCTGAATAGACTTCTTGCAGTTACACACTAGAGAGAGATGCCCACAATGAGTTATTGCCCAACTCTAATTAAGGCATTACTCTAGTTATTCTAATTATAGAAATATCAATACTGGCACGTAAATCATACAGACATAAGTTCATAACCAGGTAAAAAAATTTGATAGTTCTGTCTTTAATATATTACTAATTGAATTATCTTCAAGCTTCACATTGCCTGGGAGGTGAGTACCTCTGTTCCCTTCCTGTCAATAATTAACACATCAGGTGCCCATCAGTCTTTTGTTTCAGCTCTTGTAGTGACAAATATTTGTGTATCTGATTTCCAAGTTGCAAACATTTTGCACTTGAGACATGTTGCCTGGTCCAGGTTGGTTTGAGTGCAGCACAGCAGGTTGTTGATAATTCTGAGCCTGTGGCTTGTTGGATCACAAGGAAAGGAGTAATTTCTTTTCAAAACCAAACAAACCATGGCTTTGCCTTGTACATGTTTTACATAGCTGTGGTTCCGTGGTTTTTTATTTATGAGCTGGGAAAATTGTCAAACAGTGGCCAGTAATTCCTGTGTACCCCTGAAGCAGCATTCCAAGTGGGAACCTCAGGAGATGGTAGTTGCCTAATGTGATATGTTAAAAAGAGCTGCTGATAAAGTATTTTGCATAATTATAGAGTGGAGTTAAAACTGATGCTCGCTGAATGCAGGAGAATATCCTGAGGAAGAGAGCTACATCATCTTTCACAAGTGTGAAAAGTATCTCCAGCTGACTCAGTGTAATATTGCTCTAAATATCCCTCAATAAAACATTTTCTTCCCACAGAAGTCCCCATGAAAAGAAGAAGAAGAGGCGGTCTAGATCACGTACCAAATCCAGAGCCAGGTCTCCCTCACCATCCACGTCACCAGGCAAACCATCCACACACAAAAATTCCGCACATTCAACCAGTGTCTCTCCTGTGGAGAGCAGGGAATCCAGCCAGGAACGCTCCAGGTACCGTGCTCTGTGACCCTGCAGTGTTCGTGTCTCTTCACTGGGAGGGTGTCCCTTGACCAGACGTGGTGAGGAGCAATCTGTGTGTGCCTGTCAAAAGTAAAAGGAGCACAGCACTTCATCAGTCTGATGAAGATCTTGGATCTCTGTTGCCTAATGGAGTAAACATCCCTATGTGCTCTTCCAGTAAAACTGGTGCAGAAAATTCTGCAACCGCATTCCGAGTCAGAAATTGGAAACTTGCATTAGATGGGATGACTCTTTGAAGTAGAACTTTTAATAGAGTGGTTTGAGTTGTAATGCATGCACAAGGCTCATAATTAAATTATTTCTACAGAATATAGAACAGTCCTGTAAAAAAATTCCCAGGCTGCTCCTCAGATGTGCCTGATCAGTTGTACAAGTGATTCTTCTGATTTACGGCTTCTAGTTGAATGAGAGAACTGTTGACTTAACGTGTGAGAGAGATGTACAATGAAACTCAAAATTGTGGTGATGAGTGAAATACATTTTTAAAACGCTCTAGATTTCTAATTCTTGCTTTATTTTTTTAGGGGAGTTTCTCAGGAAAAAGATGGCCAAATCTCTTCAGCAATTGTGTCTTCAGTGCAGAGTAAAATCACTCAGGTACAAGTAGACAAATTCAGAATAATGTCACTGTCATTTGTGAAAATGCCTCTGCTGTGTAAATTTTTGGTTCAGATTTACAAAGCAAGCAAAAAAGGGTTTCTATTATAGAGTAATTGTGACATTCAGTCTTACCATCTCTCTTTTCACTTCTTTTTCATTTTTTAAGCCTTCAGTGGTTAGCTGTGTGCTCATTACAGGAGGGGTTTTTTTAAAGATTTTTTTTTCCCTTTCAGTTGATGCGATTTCTGTGTTTTGTTGTGTAGAAACTGCTCTAAATATTTATGCAGAGCACTTTGTAGCCTTGTGGTAAATCCCAACTTCAGCTGCTGTCACAGGAGCTTTCTCCAGATTACTTCACTCCTTTAGCCTGGGGACTGTTTTAACATTTGATGATCACAAATCCAGGTTTTCAGTGTGACTGGAACATGAACCACCCTTTCCATGCAGATTTAGCTCAGACACCACTGATCATTTTCCTTCTGTTTTCTACAGGATCTTATGGCCAAAGTGAGAGCAATGCTTGCAGCTTCCAAAAACATCCAAACTAGTGCCTCCTGAGACCTGTTGAACTGACCATCGAGAAATTGTGTGACAAAAGAACAATTGGGAAAAAAAAAAAAAAACAAAAACAAACTGCCTCATCTCAAATGTACAGCTGAGCTTGGCTCACCTGGTTCACAACTCGTCTGATTTACCAGAACTCGAGGAGCTAAAACCTGTCTTTGTGTACAGAAGCATCTCCTTGAAATTTCATGGAATTTTTTTCAGGCAGAATATCTTTGGAAAGTTTTCGGTTTTTGTAAATTGATTTTTTTGACTAATTCTTCAGTAACATTTTATGATCAGCAGTCTATATGTGTATATTTGTAAATACTATGTTTCTGTGAAAAGTATTACACAATAATAAAGAAGGAAACATCTTTCATTAGCTAGAGGTTTTGTGGAGTCCTTAATTGCTTGCTGTTGGGGTTTGTTACAAATTAATTTGCTTTTTCTTTAGCAGGTTCTGCTTTTTAAAGTGACAACTGGCCATCTTAAGCTGAGAAGTTCTTTTTATCTTCCTTCATGCACAGGATGATCTCAGAAGAATGTTTGCTTCCTTGGATGTTAGTAGTGGACAGTTTTTGAACAAGGAATGTGATTTTTTTTTTTCTCTCCATGATTTAGAAAGGTCTCTGAGCCTCTGTCTGAGGAGCTGACCCTTTGAAGTCAATAACTAATGGTCAGCAGTAGCCCCATTGTCTTAATGTGCCTTGTTCTCTCTGCTTATCTACAGAAAAGAGGTTATTTTTGGTCATTCAGCCAAGGTCTTGTACAGAAATTCAGCATTTTTCCGATTTAACACCTTTCATGCAGTTGAAAAATATTCACTAACTTGTGTTTTACTGACACAGACCAATTACCAGTGTTCAGAAAGCTTGTGGCCTCAGTAAAATGGCATATTTGTTTATTATGCACCCTTGTATGCTGAGGCTGTTTAATTTTTTATCTTTCATACAAAGAGCACAAAAAGATGTGTGGATTTTTAGCCAAGCCTGCTTTAACAATGAAGGGCTTTTGTAGCAGTTGGTGTATTCAAAAGGTGCCCTTACTGGCAGTTGTCTGATTCTGTAAAGAGTGGGATCAGGGCTTTTACTGATCCCTGACAAAGTCTGAGATCTGTAATCAGAAAGATTGTGGGTTTAGTGACTCATGGTCCTCATTTTTTCAAACTTCCTAAAGAGTAGGTGGAGGTTGGAGACAGATTAGAGAAATTAGTGTAAAGTTCACACTTATACAGGAGTTCATCAGTTATCTACATAGAACAACACAGATTAATAACCCCAGTACAGAAATCTTGTTCAAAGCAAGGAGAAGAGAAAGTGTTGATGTAATTTAAGCTGTAAGTAACACGATGGTCAGAATGGTCATTGGCGTGCTACTTGCTCTCTTGGAATGCAAGCACAGTATCAATCAGATTTCTTTGCAATTTTAGGTCAGTAATTAGAATTTCCAGTACAAACAGTGTAAAATGCTGTGTCTGCTGCAGAGGAATTTCATCGTGCACAGAAGTTGTGACGAAGCAGAGCCACCTAAATGGCAGTGCAGAATCATCCACCATTTACCTAATTATTTCAAAGTTATTTGCAATGCTTTGACTAGGACAAAAACAACTTTCAACCAGTACTGCATATGTTGATGAAACAGTACTAGTAGAGACAGAGAGAAAAAAAGGACATAAAGTAAATTTCTTAGGCAGCTGTTGTAGATTGTTGTGCAGCGTTGAATTTACAGCAGCTATATTTTTCCCTCTTAAATGGAGTTAAAAGTCTCACCGTGGTTAAATAGTTGGCAGCTTGGATGCCAGTTGTTTGTCAAGCAATAGGAAAGCAGCCCAGCTCTTTGATAAAATAGACTGGGCAGCTCGTTTTGCTGCTGCTTTGCAGATTTATTCTCTCTGGGAAGGTTGTTGCTTTAATGACTTCTTAAAATATTTTCTCTCCCTTTGAGCAAGTCTTCTTCTCTCTTTTCTTCTTCCTTACTCCCTTTTGTGGGATGTAGTGAGATGTAGCATTTAGCTACAGGAAAATTTAGATTAAACTGCATTTTTGTACAGTCTTCATTGTTTACCAAGGTTTGTTTGCATTCAGCACTCTCTCATGGGGAGTTGAATTCTCTGGAATTTAAAAAGTAGCAGTGTTTTTATTACGTTATTTTTTCTCTTTCCAGCCAGAATGGACTTTTTTACCATATTAAGGGGCATGAACTGCTTTACCAGAATAATTCCTCTGTGTGATTTCGCATTTTAAAACATGATGCTGCTTTTTCTGGTCAGTCTTCACAGGCACTGGCTGTGTTGTAACTGCTTGTGAATCCAGCACGGAGCTTGGGATACTGTGAGTACAATTCCTGGGATACCGGGAGAATTCCTAGATCAGAAAAAGTGTCTTAAAAACTCCAAACTGGGAAATTTTTCCAATTTCTCTTTTCCAGGTGTGGATTTGCAGCCCAACCCCTGGAAGAGACATCTCTGTGCAGCCATTTATAGGACCCTGCCAAGCACCCGGGACCCCACAGGTCTGGGATTTGCAGCCACCCCCATCCATGGAATCCGTAGGTGCTCAATTCCTTGCAATGTTTCCGTGCACCAAGGGACCTAAAAAGGCCTTTTACGACCTGGCTGTATTGCCAGAGTTTGATTGCTGGTGGGAAATACACGAGGTCGCTACAACAGGGAGTTAAAAACTGGGAGCACTTCAGCTGGAAGAGAGCAGGCTCCCAGTAGCCGCGAGGAAGGCAGGCCCTGTGGCAGCTCTTGAGTTTTCAGCAACTAGTTTTAGTTTTTCAGATTTCTCAGTTGTGTGAAAACAATATAAAGTGAAATTGCTTTGCTTTAAATTCAGTCAAATCTAGAAATTCAGGCGACACTCTATCTGCAGGTACTTTGACTTATTTCTTGTGCACGAGTGTAATGAACCAGAAGGACTTGGAATGTTAATGTTGGATTTCCAAAGCGCTTTGGAAGACACTTTGTGATGTGTGCTAGCCAGTCTTTCCTCCTTGTTTTGGGAGTTCCAGCTTATAGTTTTGAAGATTAAAAATAAATAAATTGCAAATGGTCAGTTTATACAACAGACCTTTATTCTCTCTGTATTAAGGCAGAGCAGCTTCTCAAAAAGAAATGCCAACAGCAGAAAGATGGGAGTTGCCCAAGAGGTATCTTTTCTTTTTCCTCTGGAGATTCAGGTTCAACTGAGATTCAAAAAGTACTTCCAACTTCAAGTTTTGAATCACCAAATCCTTTGCAGACCCGAGGATTTGTAGGTGGTACAGACATACATTCTCAGGGATGGATGGCTTTATGAAGCAAAACTAATAGCACAAAGGCATTGCTGCAGCAAAGGTTGTGTGCAGCCTCAGGTTCTTCATTTTTCTTTGTCAAATGGAAGTGAAATAGGTGAGTGTTAGGTGCTCATATCCGTCTGTCCTCCAATCCCTGTCACCACTTTCCTTCAGAGCTTGTTCCTCAGTGCAGAATTCCAGTTCCTCGGCTTTGCTCCATGTGCCCATCCAGGTACAACCTTCACAGTTCAAGAGGTGAAGTCATAACAACTTTTATTAAAGCTGCTCTAATTTGAATTAACCAAATGTGTTTGGCAGCTTCCTACTTGTCTCTTCAGTCAGCTGATGGGTAACCTCTTAGGAATAAAAAAGTTAAAACCACTTGGCCATCTCAATATGTACTTTTTGGTTTTCTGCAGCTGAAGAGACTTGGCTTCCTGTTAATGGTTTGACTTTTAGTGGTTGTCAGTTTGGATCTGTTGAGATGGATCTGTGGTCTGTTGGCATTGCTCATGATTTCAGAGCTACTGTCACTTTGTAGCTCTTTGCATCTCAACATTTTGTTTGACCAGTATTTTTTGGAACATACACGTTCTTGTTTGTGAACTTCATGCATTAGAGACAAAGTTATAGTCTTCCTTTTTCAATGGGACAAAAAAAAGATAACGTTTAGAATTAATGTGGTTTTTTTTTATTTAAGGCAATGACTGTTATCTTTTGTGAAGACATTTGATTGGGAAATCCCATTTAATTAAATTTCTGCTTAATTCAATTGCATTTATCATCTATTCCTCTTCTCTCATTCCTACCCAGCAAGTAATTATATGAAGCAAAGAAGTAAAAGACCTGTGGATTGAGGTTAGTAAACTGCTAAAGCATCTTCTTTAGTAATTTTCCTTTTGCTTCATGATCTGAAAGCATGAAATACAGCATTGAACTGATCTAACATTGTTAATTTTAAGATGAAAATAACTTGGCTATAACATTATGAAAATTTGTTTGAAAGTCTGGTAAATGCAGCTCTTAAAAGTTGAAAGCTCAGTGTTTTATTTTTTTTCCCCAGGTGTGATTAAATACAAACATGTTCTGAATATCTTGTTTTGCTTTTAGACAGATCCTTCCAGCACCAAAAATGCAGTTCTCTGAAGTATTACATCTAAAAGGAAAGGCTTTATTGGAGCATTTGGTTGGAAATAAAACCTGCCTGCACTCTTAATGAGGTTTCAGCCTTTCTGGTGGCAGCTGCTGTGGTATTGCTGTTGTTGCTCTGTTTGAACCATCGAAGGATTCTTGGTAAATCTTGATGCAAAGCATGTCTTTGCTTTTTGCCTTAATTTTCCCTGCCCTGGGTTACACAGGAGGTGAATATACCCCTCCTGCATTTTGTATAATCCTAAAGCAAGTCATGGCTGTTTATAACAAATCCACTTTTACCTTCCAGTGAACTTGAGACTGCCACGGTATTAATTTAATATCTTTAATTTGAATGAAGATGATAATCTCTTGGCAACAATTAATCCTGAGCCCGTAGCATGACAAACACTATAAAAAAAAAGCTCTGCCAGACCATTTTCAGAGTGGTGGTGATAATCTGCCATCTCTGGATGGCTGCCATGCTCTCCTCGGGAGACGTGCTGGGACTTGTTCCTTCTGATAAGGACAAAATGGCTCCACATGCGATGGGGACGTGCTGACAAACTCATTTTTCTCTTCAGGCTGAGTATTAAACTGATGGTCTCAACACAGGGAGTGTGATGACGTCGTGTTGATATTTGACAGTGTTACAGCTGCCTGCTTGGGTAAGAGAAACCCCAGTATGCCAGCCTGGAGGGGAGGGCAGGTGCTGACTTCCCCAGACAGCACAGAGTGGCAGGTGGGACACCTTACTGCAGTGAAAGTGGCATTTTTGGGAGGGTCTCAGATTTTTCTTGTCCTGTTTGCTGTCAAATAAATCCTGAGGATGTGTTCCTCCAGGCAGAGTTCCCATACATGCTCAGGATTTGGGGTTTCTCATTAAAATGCAATCAAAGATGTGAATCTGCAACGTTATTTATTAGGATATGGCAGCTGTGGTGATTGTGGCACTCTGTTAAATCACTGCTCTGG